TGAAGGTGTTACTTAGCCGGGTAATGAAACGTTTGCAAGAAAAGAACCAAGCTCAGAGAACCCCAAGGACTCCATAGAAACTAAAAATATATCCATAAAATGTTAATATAGAACTAGCTCAGTCTTTAACATAGCACTGAATCTAGCCGGGTAGACCATCTATTGCTCCATCTTCTCAGTTTTGGTACAATATGTTTTCAAGAAAATATTGGACAACCATTTGTTTGAGATGGTATGAGGGCTCCTGCCTTGGACAGGAGGTTGGACTAGAAGGCCTCCAAGGTCCCTTCCAATCCTAAGATTCTATGATTCTATGTTATTTCGATACAGTTATATTTATATAATATACTTGGATTCTTAATATTCTATTATTTAGGTGCTTAGTATATTAAATGCAAATAGGAGAGAAGAAGAAAAAAGGGGGGGAAGTGCATATTATATCAGTATTAACTACAGTTTCGGATATTTGTGTTACAAGCATTACAATTATTTGACTTTTCTTCAGAATTAAATATAATGAATATATAATGAAATGAAAAAAATGAAGGAAGAGGTATTTGTTTTGCAATAAAAGTTTCTGTCTTAAGCTGAATTACTTGTTACTAAAATCTCTATTGTGTTGGTGCATAGTGTATACATATATACGGATGTGCTTTTGTTGGATGTACCTGTTAATAAAAAACTAAACCAACAAATTTAGCAATTTTGAAATACTAAAAAGTAAAATTAAAAAAGGGCAATAAAGAGAAAACAATTTAAAAAACAGGAAAAAAAGGAAGCTGTTGAGTTTCTGACTTCTTTTTATACATCTGCTAATCTGCAATATTTATAAGCGTTTAGACTCCCTTAACTGTAGATGGTTGCAAATCAACCATAGATTTTTGTCTCTGAAGAGTCTCTAGAAAATTTAGTCCTGAATATGGCAGAAAAGGTGTTAATGAGAGATCACATAGCGCCGTTCTATGTTCGTCTTATAGTACGCATAGTTTAGAGTACCAGTGATTATCTGAAAAGACCTTAACTAGAGTCTATATCTCTTGCTCACACCCTAAAATATAAAAGGATGTTTATTCTGTCTCCTTCAGGGTATCTAAGGAAAGCTGAGCAGAATGCCTGACATCCTTCTCAGGGGCCACACTCTAGCTGTGGGCCTCCTTTCCAGCATTCTATGTGCCCCCATTGCTTCTGATGGTCAAACCGTGGTCAAAGAGGCTTCTGTTTCTCCTCCCAGTTCTTGGAAACATGCAGTGCACAAGGCAACACCTAGCCATAGCAGAGCTTCTTTGTGCATTTGTGCTATCCTCTCTCCTTCCCAAAAAACTACTGCTTAGCTAGCAGCTCTTGCCTTGGCTTACCTTTTTCTTTGTTGGATCCAAGCTCAAACTTGGCAGGGTGTGTTATATTCAGCCATGGCATACTCATCTGGTGGGCAGAAAGGTAAGAAAAGTTGCAACCCTGCATCACATACAGCATCCTGAAAATTCGATCTAGTATCTTTTTCAGATATTCAGGGAAAGCAGCCAGTATTTAATTTTAGAAGAGACATTCTAAAAAGCTCATGATTCTAAGGATTGTTTTTTTTTAAATGGCCATCACCTAGCAAACCCCCGCCCTAGTTCATCTATTTCAATGAGGTGCAGACAGCCGATACAAAAGGACTGTGGATTACTAGATTAGTCACAGAACTGGTTACCATTGTTCTATAGAGGATGTGTGGTTTTTGACTACCAGATGACATACCTGTTTCATAATAATCATATATACCAATCTGAGCTGGTTTGTTGTTGGTGACAGGATGGGTTTCTTCTATAGTTATTGTGAGAGTAATTTCCTTTGCTGATACCTAAGCATAAGATAAGATATCAGACAATGTCTAATTTGTTCCTTCCCTTTAAATGAATCTACACTATCATTTTCACATTTCAAACGTACCTCTCTCAGATATATGCTGACATGATCATTTCTGATTTCCCAACGTGCAACTTCATTCTGGAGCTATACAAGAAGAAAAACAAGGAATAAAATATATTTGGAGAATTGAATACGTTATAGGAAATGACACTGAAGTGAGAGTTTCATGTAAAATGAGGCAAATAATTTAAAAAACAACTGACTGATTGAAATATGACAGATATTAAAAAGCTCTTCCATTTTGATGTTCCTAACAAGCAGAAATCTAGGTGTCTCTGTTACCCTAGTTACGAGTTCTCTGTTAATCTTGTACCTCACTGAGATTGCTAGAATGTAGTTCTTCCACCCCGTATTTGATGGGTGTTGCAGATATAGGTGTTCTTGCTGTGACTGAACTGCTACAGATTCCCTGTTGAAATTTATAGTCTTTTGGCAACAGCATAAAAGATGGGTTGTGGGCAGACCAGTTATATTTCCAAGTAATACTAGTCTCCTATTTAGCCTGGCAAATAAATTGAGGCAACAGCTCTTTGTCTCTTCCTGAAATACAGCAAGAGTGGCCTACAGCCATCAGATACTGCAGAGAAACCAGGTGCTTGAGTTTGATCTAAGTTTTTTTTGGGGGGGGGGGTTCTGTGATTCACTGAAATGGTATCATGTCACATTTTGTCAAATAGGAATGAAGTAGAATCAGATGGTTTCATCTGATTAGAAACAGAAAATAAAAGCATGCATTTACACTAGCATCCATTGAATAAATAAAATGTATCACAATATTTTGTTTGCGCCTTCTTCCTATTATGCATATACATTCTTTTCATGTTGAAAACGGGCACTCTTCAGGTACCTCTAATTTCTTTGTCTTGGTTATCACTAAAAAGCTCAGTAGCCTTACCTTGCTTTATTTTACCTAGAAGCATAAAAATGGTAGAGGCCCTGAATAGCCCCACCTACAGTATATTTATTACAAACAAAGTGTCACATTGCATATTAATATACAGACATATTATGTAAGACATGGGAGGGGCTCCCTTATATTTATTAATAATAACCATACCACTTGCCCCCAAAAGAGGAATCAAAAGAGAAATGTGGTTATTTGTTGTTTTTAATTATGTATACTGCCCTAAGTTGCATGCCAAAGGGCAGCTATATAAATTGAAGTAATAAAATAAATCCTCAAAATTACTAAATTTCCTACAACTTATAGAATTGCAATTTTAAAGCTTGTCACTTTCAGTCAGTTCAATGCTATGATAATTTCAAAGTTCACTCTCTAGGTTATTTCATTTAATTCCTTTGCAGGCTCTACCTGATCCAAAGATGAACGGACTGGAACAAAACCAGAAAGCATCTTCATATCTATGATGGCCATGTTGGATACATTGCGTTCTCCAGTGTAACTTGAATAAAGAAAAATAATTTATTAGTTATTCTGACTGAACTTGGTCAACAGGTAGCCAAAAAGATACTGCAAAGAACTATTTAGCTAATATCTATCCTACAGAATTCATATACATGTTGAATTATAAAGCCTAAGCACACAATTTAGAATTATATACCAGGGTAACCTGAATTCTTCCACAAAGATACAGATTGTTTGATTGGTGAACATTAAGTTTAATGAATTGTGCAAATGTTTACCTTATTTAATTCTAATTTTTGAAAGTGATTTTACATAAGTTATTCTATGAATTACTGTAGAAGGTGGGAAAAACATTACACCAGAATTATTTTTCTGCCTTTAACTGTCAATATTTCACAATGCCTTTACTCTTCCAAGCATTTTTTCTTAATTATAAGAGTTTGAGACTTGCTTTCAGCAGAAGATAAGTGTTATTTGGCAATCCCTACATTAGATTAGATTATATACAGGAGATTACCTGACTGTGAGCACAACATCCATTTTGGGGAAAAAATTGCCAGTACATGAAGCATTTTTTATTTCCACAGCCAAACTAAATCCAGAAGCCTGTTCAGGAAGGATGACATTGTATCTCAAGAATGTCTGAAACAGGAAAAAAAACCAATATATTTTTATTGTAGTTTAGCTCTACTAAAAACTCTAGGTATCTGTTGAAGGACATCATGGCCAAAGAAATCATTTACCTGCACATAGACACATCCAGAACCTTTCACTTCCACACTGTAGTTCCCTGGGATGCTGGGCAATGTAGTCTGCTGCAATAGGATGCTAACGCTACTATCCACCTGGAAAAGTTGTTTAAAAGATTCCCCTGCACTGATAACAACAGTGTTTTGAGCATCTTTTGTGAAGGTGAGGGTTCCATACTCAGATAAAGCTTGGAGAGCCACAGGAGTGTCCTGGAGAAAATGGTACAGTTCTAGATTAGAAAACAATGTGAGGCTTTATCACAAATCTTTCCCCTCTCCTTCCTCCAAAATGATTGATTGTGTATATGGAGCTTATCTAATTTTATTCTGATAAAAATCAGGAGGAGTCTGATAGCACCTTGTCAGATTGCCAAATTTTATAAAAAGGCATAGACTTTCATGAATTACAGCTCACTTTTATTCTGGCAGTAACCCCGAAAGCTATGTGAGGTTCAGTGGTCTGAACCTTCAACCAGGTTGTTCCCGCCCAAGCCTATTATTCTCTGTATCTCTCTGGCTCTTCCCAGTAATTGCTGAAGCCTCAAAAGTGAAAATACAAAGAAATAAAGAACAGAACAGAAATAGATGTGGTGTCATTAGTCTTAGGACTAAGCAACAATAAGAAGCACTGTCATTTGACAATTCTTTTGGATAAAAAGAAAACTCTTAATACGGTAGAAAAGCATTATTTGGAGCAAATATGATTATAAATACAGTTCGCATTAGTTTAACATGCCAGAGCATCTCTTTTATAAAAAGAAACTGCCCAGAAAATTCGCTGTTGAATGTTTGTAATTCTTTGCATGAATTTATAAAAGTCACCTGAGTAGAGGAGAAACCTCCATAGTAATTCTGCTGCCTGGTCAGCCACTGGGCCATCTGTGAGGCTTCTGTCAGCTGCTCCTGGGATAGGTTCAACTGTCTCAGGTGGGCGAGCAGGACATAACTGGCTATCTCAATCTCAGCTGATGAAGCACGAGGATAGAAGGAAGGGAATATTTCTGCTGCAGGCTTTTTCTCCCTTTCCCAGTATAACAAACCTCCTGAGAATGTAGAATAGGATATTAAGAAATAGCAAAAAATATTAGTGGTACTCATACATATATCCAGAGCCAGCATCAGACTACAATATTTCATCAAACGTGCTACAAGTCCAAAGAGTTGGTGAACTGACACTGCCATGAAACAATTTTCCTCAACAGTGTACTACAGGCAGCAGTACAGAATGACAATCTAGTTAGCCCCCTCCTGCTAAGAAAAGATCTTTGTCGGTACAATGACAATGAGAAGTGATAGTAATTTCCCCTCCTTTCTGCACATGTTCCTCCAAATTCTATTGTGAAGGGACCCCAAATGGGAGGTAGCTCTCTTGGTCTAACTCAAGTTAATAAACTGTGCCCCTTTCCTTACAAAACAGACCTATCTAGAGCATATGATCTAAAGGATTTTGAATGTCTGGTTCTGTGGTTTTTTAAAATTATTTTTCTATATGTTTTGAACTGAGGAAAAACTAGCTATACTTTATCCAGTTTTCATTAAAGTTAGCAAATAAAATGATCTATAGCTGTAGATGACAAAATCAAATTTTCTTTTGATTTTTAGCACAAGACATTGTGACAATATTTTAGATCCTGTCAAACTTTTAGGATAACTAATCATAACTGAAATGTGATTACAAATACAGGTTACCTACCAGTTCTAGTGGCAGATTGCATCAGAATATCCAAGAGACGTTTTTGTTTTTCTGCTTCACCAGCTAAACTATACGTATAAGCCATAAGAGCATTTTCATAGATGTTTTCAAGATTCCCATTCAAAGCTGCATCCAGGCAAGAGAGTCCATTCCGTACAACAGGATACTATGGTTTAAGACACATGTCATGCTAAGTATATAATAAAATTATTTGAATCTCATCAGCTGAATGACTTACAAGGCTAACAAAATAAGATGATTGTAGGAAGCTCCAAAATATGGTTTAGAACATTCCAGTTGTTAGAAATCTCTGAAAATTCTACATACATACATACATACATACATACATACATACATACATACATACATAC